TTCTTTTGATTCCACTCAGCAGAGATGATGGTTAATGTTTTTCTGATGTATCCCAGCAGCAGAGTAAAAAACACTACAGATCTCTTGGATGATGCTTACGCAAATTTTAGTTTAATAGAAATCCATGGCTTGAAAGAAAGGATAAGGAAGCTGTTGTGGAAATTGACATGGGTGTTATCCGAATTTTCCTTAAATTGTCCCTAGAGTACCCCTAAGATCCCTGGGGGCTGTGTTGGAGGAGTTAGCAGAAATATTACTGAGTCATCAAAAGGTCACCTGGAAAACAGAGCTGCACAGTTTTCTCTTTAAGACGAGGGATATTGAGGTTAACAGCCAGTTACCTTTTCTTCAGATTACCACATAGATAAATGTGATGCCTGGAGGAAGAAATTCAATCCATTACTTGCTGGGTTTCTGAGTGGGATTTCCAGTCCGACCGGGCCCTCTGATGACAGTGTCATTATGACTCGTGCTCTGCAAAGCTGAACTTCAGAAATGGGAGACCCAATGAAGAACCCAAGCCTTTCTCTTTGTTTAATTGAGCTCTGAAGGATACTTGCTTCTGATAGCTGTTTGATTTCAGATTTCTTACAAGTTTAATTGAAATGATTTTAATTCCTTAACGAGGCCTGGAGGCCTTCATGTTCATAAAGGAAAGAAAAAGGTGGCAATATTTTGCTGAAACAAAATGATAGTACAAATGTGTTTCTGGTGTGTGTGTGCTCGGGTGTGGTGGCATTTTCTATGTGGACGTGTGGTTTATTTGTGAGGGAAATGGTGGTTTTAATGTCATTATCTCTCTGTAGATGATTGCAGCCTGTTGTCCTATGAGGCATCGCTTTCTGAAATAGATCTTTTCTTTCTTTTCAAAAATGACCAACCACAGTTTCAATTTCCTTTTTACAAAGACACCAGCATGAAGGGCTGTAAAAGAAAATCAGATTGTCCTTATCAGGAGATCAGTTGTCTGCTGTAAAGAACTGGCTGCATAGAGGTCTTTACATTCTTTTATTCTGAATTCACACCTTGGTTTCAAAAATACAGTGATACAGTGGTTCTAAACTTCCAGTTTACTCCTGTATTGTGATTATTATTATTATGATAATGATGATGATTATTATTAACACCTATATAGTGCTTTTCTGGACACTTCACTCAAAGAGGTTTACAGATAAAGGGGATCCCCTCCACCACCACCAGTGTGTAGCCCCACCTGGATGATGTGACAGCAGCCATAGTGCACCAGTATGTTAACCACACACTAACTATCAGTGAGGAGGAGAACAGAGTAATGAAGCCAATTCATCGATGGGGATTATTAGGAGGCCATGATTGGTAAAGGCCAATGGGAAATTTGGCCAGGACACCAGGGTTAACACCCCTACTTTTTTTTTTTAATGTCCTGGGATTTTTCATGACCATGGTGATTCAGGACCTTGGTTTTTTGGTTCATCAGAAGGGTTATGCCTTTTTTGCAGTATTTGTGTCCTCATCACAATACAGGGGCACTGGCACTCACACAGACTGCTGGGTGAGCGCCCCCTACTGGTCCTCTAACACCTCTTTACCATATCTTGAACAGCTTAGCTTTCCCAGGAGGTCTCCCATCCAGGCACCAGCCAGACTCACACCTGTTTAGCTTCAGTGGGTTGCTAGTTTTGAGTTGCAGGTTATACAGCTACTGTAGAAATTAGTTCTTTAGCGCAGGATAATTTATTTACATTTTTCTATTTGATGCCATGTTTTAAAGCAAAAACTGGTCTCAGCTCTTAAAAAGCTGACTTCGATTTGAAATCATTATAAATCCTGTGCCAATTAGTATGTTTCTGCACTGCTCTCCTGCTCTGCTATCTGAAAAGCAACCAGTTGAACTTGGTTATAAAATGAAAGGAAGGAAAAACACCCACTAACAGTAGGTGGATCTGATAGTGTCATTCCTACCCATGCCTGTTCATCATCCTATTTTTAAGAGCTCTTTAGTCAGAAATAAAGGAGCAAAATCTCAATTTACAAGTTTAGGAAAGACTGTAGAAATGTGTGTCCTGTTGGAAACAATGCACTTTAATTAGGGCATTTTTTAAAGCAAAGACAGAAAAGAAGTCTAAACTAGGATGCAGATCATTTACTGGCAGCCACTGGCACAGGCAATTTAAGGGCCTAGCTGGAAATAAATCCAGCAGACATGGTGGTACCACCAGGACCAGGATTGCAGCCCTAACATGGCCAGGCTAGCAGAAATGTCTGGACCAGTACCCATGTGAAATGTTTCCATGGCACACTAGCAGAAAGAGGGGCAGCATGGTGGTCCAGTAGTTAGCTTTGTTGCCTGGCAGGGCTGAGGCCCTGGGTTCAATTCCTGGCATGCTGTCTGTGTGGAGTTTGCATGTTCACCTTGTGTTTGTGTGGTTTTCAGCCATGAGCTCTGTTTTCCTCCCACAGTCCAGAAACATACTGGTAGGTTAATTGTTTTCTGGGGGAACTGGCCTGGTGTGAGTGTGTCTGTGTGTGCCCTGTGGTGGACTGGTGTGCTGTCCAGGGTGTATCCTGCCTTGTGCCAATTGCTTGCTGGGATAGCAGGCAGTTCGAAAATGAATGGATGGACTACATGAACGAAGAGATGACAATATGTCACTCAGTGTATTGGCATTTCACTTGACATCAGATATTTGCTTCTGCTTTGTTTTTTTTCCCCCAAGATGTTAACTGTGTAGAAATGCTTATTTGTGACCATAAAGCACATTTCAAAATGTTACCTTGAGTTGCACCAATGTGAAATACTCGTTACTTCTGTTTTAGTAAGGCTTCCACATTTTCGTCGGCATGCTCGCTTTTTTTCCTTCTTATCTTGCATGCAAAATAATTGTTTTTTTTTCTTCATTTTTAGCACTTATTTTCATTATGCTTTTAAAAAGTCACTTTGAAAATCCGTTCTGAATCCGCTAAAAGACTGAGACCGACACTGTGGGTTAATGTGAGCTGTACATGTGCAGGCCTTTGTGGTGTTTCCACTCTCAGTTCGCCTTACATGACTATACAAATCTGCTTGTATGCAACTGTGTTCCAGAGACGATTGTTTCAGCCCTCACTTGCTTACATAATAGTTTGTCATTTGAGCAAACGATGTCGAGATTAGTGTTTACACAATCCGTCACTTTCACCACAAGTTATTGTAACTGATTTTTGTGTCCTGTTGAATGTGAAAGCACCTACAGATGTGTGAAGAATAATGAACTATAGATGGGATCTTCCATCTCTGTCTCTGATGGTGGTTCTGGGTTGATCTGGCTATTCGAAAGCAAAAGACGTCTGTAATTCTTCTAGGGAAGCACAACACTTTGGAGTTTACATTATTCTTGGGGAAACAAGAAGAAAAGCGACCTTCATAAGCTCTCAGTAGTTTGGGCAAATGCGTTTTAAGATGGAATACAGAAGTAATTGAATTAGATTGATTTATTGACTTAATCTGCCTGACTGAGGGCACCACAGAATGATTGGAAGGATGAGGTCATTGGGCACCGCCCTCTTCTCACCCACCACTATGAGTCGCTGTGGGTGAAGAGGGGTGAAGGGTGGGGTGTCAGGAATGATATATGAGTAGAGGTTAGGGTGTGACCTGCTGAATTTATTTCTAACTCTATTAAAAGTGACAGCTGACAATGAGTCATTATCACATTTGGACCCCGCATGAGTCCAAATTCCTACTGCAAGTGAGCAACTTGGTGGAGAGTTTGAGACACAGCTTGTACTTTCCACCTTCGAGGAAACTAAACAAACGTTTGTGAAATGGTCCTTTTTTAAATCTGAAGGTTCATATTCAAACACAGTTTGATGGGATTAGTCTCCTGACTGCTGTGGGATTGTGTCAGCAGAGATGCTCCTAGTTATTTGAAGTGCCGGCTTTCAGCACAACTGTAGAAACCGAATGTTAAATTGTTAGGACAACTTTCAAAGTGTTTCAGATTTATGTACCAAGTGCTATGTCTCTGTAAGTCAACATAAACTATTTTAGATCCCCAAACAACTGTATTGTTATTCCAGCTTTGTTGCCATTTCAATGAACCCTCAGGCAATTAGGAACAAGTCCTACTTTGGAAAAAGAAAAAGCTTCTTGGGCAGAAAGCACCTGGGGATTTTTGATATGAACGTGTCTTGTGCCTGTACCCAGAGGGTAAAGGTCATCTGATTTGGACAGCTGTGCCCTCTGTGAGCGCTTGCTCTTCCTGTCAGTGGGTTTGTGTAGGGAAGATTCCTTCCTCTCCCGGCATCCTGCCCTCCATCAGTAGCCCAGGAGGAACTTGATAAGTCTGGCTCAGTAGATAACAGTTCAGCTGGCAGGTAACATCACTGACCAAGGATGAGGCATCGACATCTTCAAATTTATAGCCCGTCTGTATATTTCCATCTCAGCTGGAAATGTGAAATTCACTTTTCTTCTGATGAAGCATCACATACAGTGGAACTCCATACTTCCTATAGTCAAGTGCATTAAAGCCATATTTGGAAGAGATTCTAGCCTAAGTACCTAAACAGCTTGTGGATGGACAACTTAAAGAAGAAGATGTGCCACTTAACTACCGTCAGCATACTGACTGAAAGGAGCAGTGCATACTTTTGTGATCAGTAGGGTTACTCCAAATGCACCTCATACAATAATGTCTTTATCCACCTCTACAAGAATTAGTGGCTGGAGTGTTAAGTGAGTAATTTCCTTTAAAAACCAAAAATACTGTAGAGGCCATTCAGTTGTTAAAAAATGGCTTTGTTTGGCTAACACCAGCTAGTCCATACACACAGTCTTGGTTTGCTTAGGCCTCATTGTCTCTTTTTTTTCTTCAACTTTTTGAAGTTTTTGTTTATTGTTTACAGAAAAGCCAGACCTTTTTTAAATCCGGGGGCCCAACACTGCGAGTGCAGCCACGGTGCCATCGCTCCACACATCAGCCAAGCTGTTGTGTTTCTATCTGTTTTTCACAGGCACCTCGTCTTGTCGTTTCTTTCAGATCCTGACTGGGCCTCATTCACGTTGGGGGTGTTTATCTGTCAGAACTGCTCTGCGATTCACAGGAACATTCCCCAGATTAGCAAAGTGAAGTCCGTCCAGCTGGACATGTGGCAGAAAGCCGAAGTCGAGGTAATTTCCCCTTTCCCTTGCCTATCGCTGTCGTTGATTGCCTTTTTAAATCTCCGTCACTGTAACAGGTCCCAGTGCAGTGAGCATGGCACAGCTGTGAGTTCCCTGCCTTGAAACCCACACAGGGCAGAAGACCCAGAGGAGGTCACTGCTGTCTAGGATTCGGCCCCCCTAAAGAGCTGCACACATTGCACCACCGAGCTGATCATCCGCACTGTCGACGAGTTCTGCAAAACAGACCCTTGCCGAGCTGTTGGGACCCTTGTGCCTGATGAAGACAACCGGGGGATCCCTTTTCATTAAAACATTGAGAGGAAGAAAAACTAAATTGGGGCCTGTCAGGACAGCCCTTGCATCAGCTTGAGTCAAACTCTTGAAATCGGAACAAGGGAAATAGGAACAGCTTCAGTGCCGTGCTGAGTGATGGATGCTCCCTAGGAGCTGAGCAGTGTGAAGGCAGAGGGTGGTTTCATTACAGCTCTCAGTAATAAACGAGAGCTGGACTATCTGAAAGCTGAAAACCACTGACTCGATTAAGCAAAATAGGTATTCTAAACTGGAAGAGTGAATTTTGTCCAGATTCTCCCTTAAATTATAAAAGCTTTTAGTAACATTTCTGAACACACTGGCAGGAAAGCCCTTGCTTTTGCTTATGCTACCCATCAGCCACATATCAAGACCGAGCTCTTCAGAAGGGTGAACAAACAGGTGACTGACAGCCCCTGAGCACGTGCTACCAAGCTGTCCCGGTCACATGTTACATTGTCATTTCCTACTACCAATTTGCATGTATTAAAGCAGGTTAGTTTTAATTGTAGCCAGATTGGACTCTGCTGTCGGCTGTTAAGACACCAGTTACCCTTCATTGGACCCCGAGGACAGACCTAGAGATTTCATAGAGGGTTTGTATACATGCAAATATGTCTTTCAAAAAAAAACCCCCACGATAATCAATCTGCTCCACAGCCTTTTGAATTTCCGGTGCTGCTTTGTGTGGCTTCTTTCCCTGAGTTGGTTTCTGTTGCAAGGGGGACGGATTTGCCAGGTTAACTGCCGCACCTGGCCTCTGTGTGTGTAATCAGAGAGCTGAAGTGCTGACCTGTGAGATAGGGCTGCCCAATCCTCTGCAAGGCCAAGTCTACTTTGTCGATCACTGTGTTCCTTCTCGAACGTTGTTCAACTGCATGGATTACCATGCCTTTGCATTCATTTGAGTTTTCAAGGCCCTCTGTGCATACGCCTGACGTCCTGTTATTGCTATGAATAGTGGAATGAGTGCCTTCCCCCCAGTGTCTTGCTTCTGATCTGGGTAGAGCTCCTCACGTTCAAGGTGAAAACAGACGTTCACTGCCACAGGAAACAGGATTTCTTCTGAATATCAATTATCACGAGTAGTTGTAAGAGAGGTCATATTTCATTCCAAATATTCAATCATTACCCACAGAGCTGTCGTAACACCCTTTGGGGTTTTCGGTGGGTGAAATTGCACCAACCAGGGCCCTGAAGAGGACCTCAAAAGCTAATTATGTCCTTCTGTTCCTAACAGTTCATGGCTTCCACTGGAAACAATGCTGCTAAAGCCAAATATGAACAGAAGGTGCCACCTTTTTATTACAGACCGACATTTGCTGACAGCCAGTAAGTGATGTTTCTTTCCTACCTTCTAATCATTCCTTATTGAATTTTAGGAATGTTTGCTTTTAAAGAATCCCAGGTATTTAGGTTTGAAAGTACTTTAATGCCAAATGAGCGACTTTTGCAGTCATTTATTGCCATCACCTGCACTCCTTTCTGAAGATCTCCGCATGTAGCCTGATCACAGGCAAAGAATATCAGAGGGACAGACTTTGAGCTGCTTGGTTCAAGGCTAATAGACGGCTCAAGTACATTTTACCTTGTCCTCAGAGTTGTCTTTCCACGGTTGATGTCTCTGTGGTGTGTACTGGACAGGGAATGTCACCTGATGGTCAAAACCTTGGAGACCTGGGAAAGACAGATCTAGCCCGTGTGGTAGTTACAATACTAACCAGTTTATCAATGGGGCTCATACATGATCACAGGGATCTTACATGTTTACATGGATCTCATCCATTTTGTTTGAAGGAAGCAAGATTATTCACTTCACCGAGATGGCTGGGTGGTTTTAGTAGCACCCAGGTGCATCTGGTTGCTCTTTTTTGGACTGATTCTGATTTCTGAGCAGTAACACGTCATCTATACTGTAATTCAAAATTGTACACCTTATCCGGAATGAATGCTTACTTGTGCTTTTCTAATGTCATCTCTTGATGGATGTTAATAGTGCCAAACATCCATCCTTCCAACTGTTCTCAACCCCTTCTTTCACAAGGGAGCCGGAGTCTATCACAGCATGCAGCGCCACAAGGCAGGGCACAGCCTGGACTGGATGTGAGTCCATTGCACATTGTCTGCTTTTCTGAATATTTTCAGCCAATTAATACCCCACTGCATCCTGGGCAACATCCTTTATTGCATTATTCATATCACGAGGAATAATAACCTCCTCAAGGGACTGGTGGATGGTATTTCTCTTCCTTGATGAAACACAGGGCCTTTCTGCACGCACAGTCACACATTGTATTGGGAGCTGAAAGTGTATCTCAGAGTGCTGCACTTGTTTAGGTCACTTCCAGTATAAATTAACCTGCTAGTATGTTTTTGGACTTTGGGAGGAAATTGGAGCATCAGGAAGAAACTCACACAAATACAAGGAGAGCATACAAACTCCATGCAGGTAGCACCCCAAGTCTGGAACTGAACCCAGCGTCCCAGTGCTGTAAGCCAGGCTAACCACTGTGCCATCGTGCCACCTGTGTCACTATATTACCTTTGTTAATAAAGTTGCAGATTGTTGTATAAAGTGTAGGATGTGATGTTTCACATCTATATTATATTCTGCTTTACTTGTCTTCCTAGTTGGGTATAAGCTAATTTCAGTATTTTGCCACCATTTGGCACTTGTGTGAGACACTATCATACAATGTGGTGGTGTGGTGAAAAAGGTAGTACACACCTTATGGTTTAACATATTTAGGATACAGGACAGTCCCAAAATTATTTTGAAATGGGCATCAAGTGTTACCATAAAGCTATGTGCTTAAGGCCAAAATGACAAAGCTTCAGATTTTATATACCGGTGGACTCATTTCCTGATTATCAATTGGTAATTTGCATGTGTTTTGGTATACCTGATTCTACGTTATGTCTTTAATCAGATGGTGGATCTAAGGATGCACATTAAAAATGGCAAAGTACATTTTTTGTGTCTTATTTATCCTATATTATTTATTCTATCTATTGCCAGGACCAGATGAAGGTCAAATACTGTGTGTCTAGATATGTTGATATGTTAAGGGAGTGTACTTTTTCACCACGCTGTATATGCATGCCTTACTCTATGGCTATTGGATTGGCAAATGCTTTGCTTTTTAATCAGTCAGTGCATCCTAGAAATGAATAATGTCATCTCACAGAGATATTACCATCTGTCCTCTTTAATGCAAAAGAGCCACTCCCAGAGACAGGACAAAATTAAAACAACGGAAACTGGTTTTTAATTTAAATAGACACTCTTAATTGCATATCTGCAGATCTCGGCAACCAGTGTGAGTTTACTGACAGCCTGTTAATTTACTGTAGGTTGGCGAAACAGCCTTGAATCAATTCCACTCCACAGGCAAGTGGTGCTGACTGGTAGGCTGGGTCAGAAACAAAGTGCTAAAGCCAGCAAGTTAAATTGAACAGAACCACTTCAATCTGAACCAGGCGACAGGAGTAGTTTCCAGTTTTTAGATTGATGAGCCTGGACCTAAAAGTATCTCCTTGCAGAAATGAAGCTGCTGATTTCTGGGCATTCGATGCCTGATCTAATTAGCTGAATAAAGTGGTTGAGACATCACAGAACAATAACAATTGAACAGCGCTGAGTCACTTTCTCCTGTAATGCTCGCTTAAGTCAGCTGTTCCTGGTAGCAGAAGCCTGAGGATGGAGACGAAACTGAATTCAATTTGTTTGTTTGCAGGTCCGATGAGCTGAAATGGTCACAAAACATGAAATGCCAACAGTCAGACCACCACCGATTGCTTGAAAAAAAAAGTTAGCTGTTGCAATGCAGACAATGTTATCCTCTGGCCAGAGGCATCTTAATTAATTTCTGAGTGCCTTTAATGTCTGTTGAATTCCTGTTAGAAAAACCTCTGCAACGTTTTACAGGAATATTTTGGCTTGTGTGGGGATGTGCAGGCAAGAGAATGATGGTGTCTGGCAATAAAGCACTGCTTTAAAGGAAATCTGTGGTAATTCTTCCTTGATTTCAGAAACTGCCCTCTCATTTCTCCGACATTCATGCAAAGCGAAGGAAACATTATAGGCTAAACTGGCGAAGTTCCCTGGAGGGCTGAGTCAGAAAATGCACTGAGCTTTCAAGGAGGAAGAAGATGGCAGGTGCAAAAAGGCCAAGTGAGGAATGAATTTTGTTCTTCAGTATTGGATTTGAATCCATATTGTGAGAAGTGCCTCACAATGCTCAACTCCCTCCTGCTCTGGTAGAGCTCAGTAGAAACAAGACAGCTCAAATGGTCACAAGACAGCTCAAACCAACAAGTAGCATTTGTTCAGATCTTAGACCTTTCCATCATCCATGCAAAAACTGAAATGTACACAAAACTGAAAAGATCTCAACAGAAGACCTTGTGAAACCACTTAGTTTCACGGAAGTAGTAAAGATTCTGAATGTCTTGAGGAGAGTTCGCTTTGAAACGCCATCTTTCAGAGCACATGTCAAGCTTACTTTAAAATCGAGTGAATTTCTATCTGAAACCTCTCACATATCCTGGGACCTAAATCTCTTTACAAATTTGGGAATTATTCATATATTTTGTAGACTATTCCTGTACAGTGATATACTCCAAATGAGCTTTTGAACACCTGTAACATGGGGTGTTAGAGAGGTCGAAGGGCAGATATTCTCTTGACATGTTTTTTTTCTCTTCACCTACAAATCTTGTGGACAGGACAGGTGAGGTAGGTATATTGGAAAGAATATGAGCCAGAAGCAGATAACTTTGCTCATGCTTGTTTGGTTGCTGTTACTTAAGTGTTAAGTGATCTGAGGATGTCAAGCCTTGCATGAAAACTCTAGGTTGTCAGCTTCGATGGCATGGCTGGGTTGCTTGTTCCACACTCCCACAACCCTTACTGTATAGAGAGGATTCTTGGTATTAAATGCACTTCCCTGTAGTTTCCACTCCTGTCCTCTGGCTTATCTTTGCCACAGCCTGCCTCTTGATGATTAATATTCATATTGTGCCTTTGTAACTGGAGCTGCTTCGCATGCTTAGCGATGGAACTAAACATCTAACCAGGCAGGAAAACCCACTGGGTAGTTTAAAATCCACATAAAATATTACAATATCGACAGTGCTTTTTTTTCCTCCATCATTTGACTCGCTAATTCTTAGTGTTGTTTGAAGTGTCTCAGTCAAATCCCTTAAAAACAACATCCTGAGTTTACTTGTACCAAATCCCTTGAGTAAGGTCTTTTGGCAGATGCTCTGCGTTCATATTTGCTCTTTTTTCTGTCTCTCCATGCCAGGAATTATCCCAGTCATCCAGAATGCGTGAGCTTTTTTATGTTCTGTTGTTGACGCTTCTCCTTCTTAAGCTTTCAGTTTTTAGCATCCCACGTCAGTCAGTCTGTCACCTTCCTCAGGGGTTTACCTGTTTTCGTTTTCAGCAGCAGCACGAAGACAGATTTCCCCCCAAATTTATCCCTCCTGGATTTTGTGTTCTAAAATCGGTTTATCTTTTTCATGTTGTTTTTTCTCTCCCTACAGAGTGCTTGCTGGGGATGTACTATATATCTGATCCTCACACTTTAATTTACTGTTCATTTTCTGCGTTTTTAATTTCACCTTTCCTGTGAAGCAATTGGGTCTTGTTTTTTCTGTGAGCTTCTATTTGCTGGGCTTGTATTACTGATCAACAGGGAGAGGTCAGTCAGTCAGATGTCACAAAAACATTTTGTCTTGTGTTCTGTACACTGGCTCCCTTGCAGGATTTAAAATGTGCCAATGAAGCTCGTTAAATTTCAAATTATAGACCTACGGCAGTGCTTAAATTTACTGCAATGTCTTGAGCTTAGCAATCTGTGTGAAATGTTCACAGGAAAAATACATGCTTTTAACCAGAAGTGTTATTCATTTTTTGATAACTGATTTTCATAAACGTAATTCAAGATTAAAACTCCACTTTCTTTGTCCTGAAATTTATTTGGAAGTTTGAAATAGCACAATAAGTTCCAATAATGTATGACTCATGGCAATCCGTGATTCTATACTGTATATATTTTGCAAAGATGACCGAAACTAATAACATTTATATGGTCGTTTGATCTTGCATGCAGAATTAATCGAAAAAACAGCAGTAATTGTCTTTTAAGAACTTGACACAGTTCAACACATTAACATCAAGCCAAAAAAAACTGCCTTTTTCCAGCAAGAGTTCAGGGGCACACTCTGGTACGCCACACTGTAGCTGATAGGTTTTCAACATCTTTAAAGTCCACTGAGGACATGAATATTTTGTAAGCATTTGTGTCTGTGGATTGGGTGTCTAGGGCTTGTGGAGGAGTCTTTTCCATGTTAAAGTGTTCCCTAAGCCTATCCTTCCGTGATATGTTCAAATGAATACTCTCTTCTAAAGTTCTTTACCTTGATTCACCACATATCATTTAATTTGGATAAACAACTTATTAATGAACGTGGAATCTGGTAGTTGTCCATCAAACACAGCCACAAAGCAAGTTTGCAGAGTGTCCTGAGCCTTATGAAGGTGAGAAATATGGGACAGAAGCTGTGTGAAAAACCTGCTTTTATCACATTGAGGCACATTGAATCCCCGAAGATCATTATAGGCTCACAGCTGTAGTGAAGACCCTTCCATGACCAGGTGAAGTCCAGCTCGTTTCTCGATGTGTCTGAAGTAATTACAATAGTTTACTGTGTGCAATGAAGGAGGGCTATTGGAAGACATGTAAGGGACTCAAAAAGGGACAGTGGCTTAGTGGTTAGGATTACTGCCTAGTTAATTTGTACTGGAAGTGACCTAAACAATTGCGGTACTCTAAGATACACTTTCAGCTCCCAATACAATGTGTGATTGTGCATGCAGAAAGGCTCTGTGTTTCATCAAGGAAGAGAATTACCATCCACCAGTCCCTTGGGGAGGTTATTATCCCTCATGATATGAATAATGCAATAAAGAATGTTGCCCAAGATGCATTAGGGTATTAATTGGATTAAAATATTCAGAAAAGCAAACAAAGTATTCTTTAATACGCAGTCCATTGTATCGCAAGAAAATGGTGTCGTTACATTCAGTTCTCAAATGAATGTTGAAGTAAACGATAGGGATTGTTGTATTTTAAATTTTGTTTAGACTTTTACAAGAATACGGGCCTGGAGAATTCCAACATAAAAGGTGAGTGCTTTTTTTTCCATTGCTGACATTAATTTTTGCTGCTAAAGCAATGCCAGTAAATAGAACAGACAGCAGATGAGTGAGTTATATGTAGAGAACTGCAAAAGTCCCTCTTAATGGCCCTGGGTTCTTAATGTTTGATACGGTCAGTGTGTCTTATTATGAACTGATAAATTAGACTCCAGGGGCTTTTTAATCCTACTCCACTGGTTCATCTAGATTACTCATAACGTCTCCCATCCATGTGCATCCTCAACAAGATGTCAGTGTGCATTTGTGAGATTTATTGATGGCAGGTTTTATTGAACTAGTCATCCATTATGCAGATCCTATACAACATTGACGGCATAGGTTTACAGTCTCATTTTGAACTTGAACGGTTTGTGCATAACTCCCCACCCCCTGTGCTGTTGTAAATGTTTCCTTGATGTCTTCCAGGAAAATGCTGAGATAAATGCCAACAGCCAGAAAAATATTGCCCTAAATAATTTCCAGAAAACGTTTCTTCACTTTTGCAAAGTAAATCCCCTAAACAACCATAAGACACATAACATGATCACTTTGCTTTTGCAGTTATTCCAGTAATATTCTGGCATACAAATACTTTGTAGAACTGTTTGTGTATTGCACACCTCTTCTTCATTGTGAGTTTTTTAGAATTTGCAGAAATGGAGAGAATGTTAGTTTGAACCATTTCAATTTTTATGAAAAAATAAATTCCTATACACTTTGAACGTGACGACACAGTTCTGAAATTATCTGTAATTGGGTAACCGAAATGAAATGACTGAGCCATTTCAGAATTTATACATAAGCCAACACCAGAGTGCTGTGTAGAGGCTATCTAATGCACCTCCTGCATCACTGCATTTCTAATATCTGAAGTACATTTCCTAGGCCCTTTTAAATGATCTGAAGATTATACTTTACCGGCCATATTAGTGTGGGTGTCTGTTGGTGTACACGTGTTTATGTGAGAATAGATGACAAAGAAATTGCATGCAATTGATCTATTTCTATTTATGGGCAGTGGTTATAATTGCTGTCATACAGCTCTGTGGCCCAGGGTTCACTTCCAGAACTGGGGCACTGTCTGCATGGAGATTTTGTATTTTCTCCCCTTGCTCCTTGTTCCTCCAGGTGTTCCAGTTTTGTCACACAGTCCAAAAATGTACTTGTAGGATAGTTGGCTTCAGGGTAAATCGGTCATGGTAGGAGTGTGTAAATGTCTGTGTTTGTGTCTGGTTGTGCCCTGAAATGGGCTGATGTCCTTTTCGGGGTCCATCCTGCTTTGTGCCTGTTGTTTACTAGGATAGGGTCTGGCTGCCCTGTGACCCTGCATTGGATAAAGAGATGACAAAATTAATGGATGATTTATTCACAAATATTACCTGTAAAAGTGTCTTGTTTTGCACCTACCTGTACCTGTGTACCTGTGACCTTCGGCTATCACCTCTGCTTTTTGTTTCCTTACAGGATTCTAAGGGAACAGTGGATTCGCGCCAGATACGAAAGGAATGAGTTTGTCTGCGTCGAAAAACAAGAGCCCTATTCTGCAGGTAGGAAGGATCCTTGGATTTGGATTTATTTATGGAACTCCGCAGAGATCGTGACCCTTCCTGTAAGGTGGGGAGCTTGGAGTGATTACACTGGCTGACAGAAAGAAAGATCTGTTGTATCAGAGATATCTCATTTCTTCAACTCTAGACTAAAAGGCTCACAGAATCGCAATCTAGAGCAGTAACACTATAGCACGAGGCATAAAATGCAAAGCAAATGCTTTCTGACAGTTTTATAGGTTGTTTTCAATTGCAGAAAATGTAATATTGTGAAAGAGCTGCATTTCTAACATCTAACAGTATCAACATATCTGTATCTTCATGTAATATCTGGTTTTATGTTTTGAAAAGCACAGGCTTTTTTGAAGTAATCTCAGTAATTTTATTTTCCATAATCTCAGTTATATGTATTGTGTTTTAAACACATTTCACAGGTAGCATTCCATTCAGTTTTTTTCCCCACATTGTTTTAGAGTGAATTCTGTATTCTCACACCAATAGACTTAAAAATAGAGTTTGGTGCTCAAGACTTAACTATTCAGACAGAGACTTAAGAAGCTTTCTGTTAGTTCTGCTCTTTGGCTCATCGTCTTATTTCCTAAGTGATGTTGCACTATGTTGACATATCATTAGTGAGAAAATTAATGGGTTTTTGTTTCTGTGGGATGGTGGTCATGTGGGGGCACTTCGAAACAAAATGATTTGACCATTTTAAGAAAAGAGAATTATCTGATGACTAAAGATTTTGGTGTAAAATCTCAGTACTTTCCTGATCCAGTGGTCATGGTCACACGTTCCCATTCCCATCCTTGAATTTTTTTTCTCCTTTCCCAGCAGACACCTGTAAGGGGAAGATGCTGCTTTGTTTTAAAAAAAATCTAAAAACTTCTGGTGCTTGAAATCGGCAAACTACGTTTCTGGTGTAGCAGGATGGAAGAGTGGAGCTGTTACTGTCATTTTACCATTGTGGTACTTCTTTTCATAATCTTCTAGAAAATCCCCCTACCATGTTCTCCTTTTTAAAATGTCTGCCTTTCCATGTATGTTGTATTTGTTATTTTATGGCTGCGAGCAAAATACTGTGCTGATGAAAGCGTCCCATCTCTGTATTCATCTAGTGGAAAATCCAGTTTTCTTAGGATGTCTACCACAAGTGAATCCTATTGACAAGTACCGCTAATATTAATAAGGCTTATGGAAATTCGTAAAAGATAGGCAACAGAGTATGAACATAAAAGACCAGCATTGCTTAAGTCAAACTTACATGGCAACCAGAGTGTCATTTTTCTCCAGTTAGTCTTCTATGCGTAAAGCTGGAATGATTTGATGTGTTTCTGTACAGTGACTGCTTACACTGAGTGCTTTACTTCACATTTTGTAGAGTAGTGTTTCTGGCACTGTTACAGACTGATTGAAGGTTTAGTGTTTAGGTTTGTTTCAAACCTCAAAAGGCAGTCAGCTGTAGCGTGGGAGGTCAGGGAAGGCTCCCTCCTAAGAGATGCCTGTCAGGCATTGTCCTGCTCTCTTGTGCTCACTGTGGGTTTGACTTTGGAGATTAGTGTACAAAACCAGATTCTGGCAGGTACAAGTGTCTGTTTATCCCTTTTTTCCAACCTTTCTTAGCCTTGGAGAGCATACTGTCCTTTAAAGGCAAGTCTTACATCCATTCATTTGCAAAGAACTTGATCCAGCAAAGGGTTGCAGGGGAGCCACAGGAAGATAAGGCCATGAGGTGGGATATGCCAGTCCATCACTGGGCAGACAGACACAGACACAAACACGGGCATGCAGACACTCACACCAGGGCCAGTTTTCCCGAAAGCCAGTCAACCTACCAGTGTGTCCAGTGGGAGGAAATCAGAGGAAACCCATGTGAACGGGGGGGAACATACAGACTCCGTGCAGATAGCACCCCTGTTCCAAAATTGAACTTGGGGCTCCAGTGGTGTGAGGCGAGTGCTAACCTCTATGCCATGCCTTCACGCCACCCAAAACCATCCATAACTTTGAGAATTTATAGACAGGTGGACATGGACCTTTTTTATTCAGCAGTAGTTCATTCGTATTGTTACAGAAGCCTTTATTCAGTATTGAGAGGTTGTCTTCCATTGTAGACTCTGACGTTAGTCCTTTTATTTTTCTGCGGTATCTCTCTAATTACTAATGGGAAAAATAATTGTGCCATCTGGAGTGTGCACTGTTTCCTTGTAAACTGGGGTAACCTTAAGACCCCATAAGTCCATAAGTGTCACGTTAAGATCTAATACTAGGAAGACAAAGGGCTTTGTTAATAGTTATATCATTGTGCTCCAGAATATGCATTTGTTTGATATTACTTAAAATGAAATCTGCTGTGGAATAAAGATACTGACCTAATAGCACAGTACGCTTAGCAGACTTCTCAAATACATATAAATATGTTTTAGTATTTAAGCACCGATAAACTGGAGATATTCAGAATACACTTTAAGGGCAGACCCTGACAAGTCCTACTGTACACATGTTTGTTTAAACATTATGTGCCCCAGGGTTAATAGTAATTGGGCTGCATGAAACAACCAATAAATACAAAAAACTAAGAGCAGTGTCCAGCCTCAGGGTCCTTAGACTTCCATTATAGCTAGTCACAGATGTTAAGCAGAAATTAGGGGAAAAATAAGACAGCTTTGATCTGGAACAGTCAGTAAGCTTTTTTTCCTTGTGCTTACATTACAAATGTCGTGCTTTTGAATAGTTGTGCCTTATCAATGTTTTTTTCAGAAAAAACTTCAAATGGTGTTTTTTTGGACAATTAACAAACAGTCGATTTGCATCTTCCTGACCACGCAGTGCTGATGAATGATCCAATAATGCATTGAGCTCCTTCTATTGAGTTATCTTCAGGGCCATAAAGCAGGCAGGGTTTGATCAATGGAGGTTAACTTAATTTTGCTGCTTCCCTCTTGCACATCTTCAGCCTACAAATGTCTTGACCCTAACCCAATAGCTCATCTTAAAAGGATCAATTAAATATCGGTGAAAGAAATGTAAAAAATCTGAATGTCAGATCAATTCACTTCCAAAATAGTTACCTCACCCTGTGTGCTTTTGTGGGATTTGAGTTTGAGTCCATGTTTTTTTTTCCCCCATTTTAAAAAGTAATGTCCAAAAAATGAATTTCCTTCATGTCAATAAAGAAATTACATTTTCAATTAGCCTGGGGTGTCGAGACTGCAGACACAAGAATGCGTAAAGCTTGCTAGTCTCCTTTGAGGCTTGCGGGAAACAAAAGTTAAACGAACAGATTCCAGATGTTGTTCTTGCTGCTTGAAGAGGTTCTTAAACCTTTTGGGATGAAAAGTGTTGTCGGAATGTAAGAATTTAATGTGGCTCATGTGCGCAGGCATCGGCTGCTATTTTGAGTGGTAGAAAGAATAGGTATTAAATAATTTAATTTCTATTTCATAAACAAGGCAGACTATTTATACAAAAATATTGGACGCATTTACTCCTTGTTGACACTAAACAGCACGGGTAAATCCATCCATTGTCTACCCACCTCATCCAGTTCAGGGCCTCAGGGGAGCCAGGGCCTTTCCCAGCAAGCAACAGGCACAGGGCAGGGTACCGCTGAGACAAGATGCCACTCCGCTGCAGGGCACACACAGACACACACACTCAAACCAGAGACAATTTCCCAGGAAGCCAATTAACCTACCGGTAGGTCTTTGGACAGTGAGAGACAAAGCTGGGGCACAGCACCAGATGCAGTAGCTGACAATAAAAAAAACATGATGTTCTGGCATTAGGAAACCTGACAGATATAAATAACATTTTAGCAAAGCTTTTCAATGTCTGAGCACTTTGAACTACTGAGCAAATGAAATGGACACTTGCTTTTATCGGTCGTTGTCAATTAAATTGTCTTTGGACTGCACCAACAGTTAAAACCCCCTGGTTTTGAAAAAAATAAATAAATAAAATAAGCAGAATCAAATGTATTAGAACAACAAGGGATTTTCCACAGTTTGTGCTTTGCTAGTGACCTTTTCATCTGAAGAATGGCGTTCCCGGCAGTTTTAGCGCGAATGGCTCTGAGGTGGATCATCAAAATGATGGAATCTGACTGAGACTCTCTGACTGAGATGGCCTTTGGCTGTTTATAAGATTCACATTGACTGGAATGCAATGCCAGCGATGGGCCAGAGTTATTAATATTTATAGTGTTCCTCAATTGGTGGGGAGACTTTCTGCAATCGGTCCCTCCCAGCCTGGCAATAAAACTAATTTAGTGAACAAATAGCACTTTGTTGTTCTTTGTTCCCTGCGGTTCATCTCCCCCGCAAAACCCTTAAAAAACGGGTTTTTCACAGCATCATGTTGTGGCTGAAGGTGTAGAAAATCATCTCGGTGAATGTCACTGCTTTCCTCCTGAAAGACAACTGTCTTTTGTAATGGACCGTGTGCTGCCGTATGAGGAACGGGTGATTATTCTGGGATAGCGAGGCTCTAAATGAAGAGAGGGCTGTCCAAAGGAGGGTTAGAAAAACACACTTTATTTCCCAAACGGGCTTTCTCAGCCACATGCCGTTCCAAGTTCATTCCTAAAGGGACAGACGAATTTATTTCCTTACCGCATAAAAGAAACAGATGGTATAACTGTGAGTTTTCCTTCACTGTAGATTATTTTTATGAACAGTGGCTCATTTACTGAAAAAAGCAAGAACTGGTCAGTCTAAAGGAAATCTGAAAACATTATACTGATAAGTAATTCAACAATAGTGTGAAAACGGCACATTCTGCTCAAGGATGGCCATGAATTGCTGGAGTTTAAAGCGATAGTTCACAGTTAAGAAATAATGGACTGATTAAATTGGTTTCTGGTTATCCTTACTAGGAATAAGCAAGAATGTATATTCACTGTAATAAAAATCAAAAGGATGTGTGTATATGAAATATATCACTATAAATTATTTATACTGTATATATACCAGTAATACACTACATTACAAAATACATTG